TGTGGCGATGACGGCGAACGCCTCTTTGAGGACTCGAACCTCGATGCGATCGAGTCCGGGCGCTTTGCCGTTTTTAAAGGACTTTAGAGCACGGCCTACATTCCCCTCCGTGAAGGGAGAGGCATTGGCCGTGTCCCGTGCGATGAGTGCACCTCTCCTGACCCCGCTTTGGTCAGGAGTGTCCTCGCTAACCAGGTCGTCGGGGACGTGCGCATGCAGGAGGGCTTCGGCTGCCTCCCTAATGGAGTGGGTGAAGCCTTCGCCACGTCGGATCGTGCTAAGCACTTTCTCAACGCGGAGTTTCCTAGCCTGGAGCTTGTACGGGAAGCCCCAGGGCTCCGCGTTGCCGTGCGACGTGACAATGTCCCGCCAGCTCTGGAGCTTGGCCCTCTTCACCGCCCGGTTGTACAGTCGCAGTGAGGTGCGGTATTTGCGCAGCTGCGAGAGGCGATCGGGTCCTCTCCTCGCCCTCTGGTGTGCCCGTCTCAAACGGTACGTGCGCCTTTTCAGGAGGGTAAGATGGGGTATCCACCACGGGTTGGACTTTCTATATTTCTTGACCTTCGGCATCGACCTGTTGCAGGACTCGATGATTGAGTCCGCCAGGGTCTTTACCATGGTCTCGATATCTTCCGCGGACCCCAGGTCATGGGGCGCGAGGCGGGAGCGAGCGATCTCCACGAGGGCAGCGGCGAATCGTTCCCAGTCGGCTTTCCTGACGTTGAACCGCCTTGTCCCGGGATCGGCGCCATTGCGATCCCTCAAGGGCACTCTCAGCCCGATGTCCACGGCATCGTGATCGCTGGTGGTCCAGTCAGCCCGGACCTTCCATGAGCTGACGTATTCGCCCATGGCAGGAGTCGCCAGGGTCACGTCGATGTATGTCTGACCCCTTGGCGTCCAGTAAGTCGGGCCCTGGCCAGGGTCGTTGACCGCGGCGAGGCCAATGCGCCTGGTTGAACCGCGCGAGAGCGCGGCCCCTTCCGTCCACACTTTGGTCTTTGCCCCAGAGGGGGGACATGGCGTTGGCGTCTAGCGCAATGAGGATTCCTTTCCACCTCAGCGAACGGAGCACCAGTTCGAGGTGGCTGAGGTGCTTCTCGATCTCCTAGCAGTGATGGAAATAGTGCGACACCGCGTAGAAGGAGAAGCTTGGGGCCTGCACTTCCACACAAACGCAGTGTGCCGTGCTCAGCTGGGAAAGCATTTTGACCTCGAGTTCGGGGTTACAGACGGCTACCGCGGCCCAGGGGCGTTCCCGGCGCACGGCGGCCACCCTAACCCGAGTGCCTACTCCGTATAATGTGTGGCTGTCTCCCTGCTTCCGGACGTACGGTTCCTGCAATAGCAGGACGTCCAGTTGCTTTTGCGAGATCCGCTCGCATACTTCTCCCATTAATGAATGAGCTGAACGAGCCGCGTTCAGTTGGAGCACCCTATGTCCCGTGGTTTTGGAGGGCAGGTCGCGCGCGGTTTCGATTTCTCGGCTGTCGGAGCCGGCGCGTTCCCAGCCCTGGTTGGTTTGCGGGGACTCTAATCTGGGCTGCAATTTCGTTTTCGCGACCGCGGGCCTGGTGGTGCGGGCGTACCCCGCAACCGCTGCCGCAGGGGTTACCGGGACCGCGTCATCGCCGCGCACTAAGTTAACGTGGACAGCACGAAGGCTGACGACCTTGGGCACCGCCCCGTTGCGGCTGCTGTCCGAGGCACCCGCCGGCGCTGGGACGCCCGATTTGAGGGAAAGGGCAAGGGCCCTCGTGACGAAGCGGGTGCACGGACGTCCGACGGGGGCTGCGACGTCGCCGGGAACGACCCCGCAGCGCACCGACCCTGAAGAGTGGGCCGGGTGCCCCCCTCACCCGTTGGTGCTGAAATAAAGCGATACATTTTTATTAGTAAAAACAGATTTTCGCCCGAGGGCGTGCCCCGGCCTCCACGGACCCTCAAATGTCACCCGGCAATGGCCCCGGCCCCGTGGCACGTCGGCGGTGCCGGGTGAGGACATCACCCCGGGGTATAGTCCACCCGCCCGGTCCGGTTGGATGTCTCCCTCCTCGCATCTACCCCCTCTCCAGATGATGAATCAGTGCTCTGGGTGGGTTCTCACCCACCTCGCCGAGCGAGCTGGCTCGCCCTACGGTCGACGGCCCTTATGAAAGCAGGGCTTGATAGGCCGTGCGACCGAGCAGATTGACGGGAGAAGGGCTATCCCCCCCCGCCGCCCGTCTAGCCGAATAAGGGGCCAAAGAAGTGTGTTGGGTACGGTCCGCCGCAGCGGACATTCCCCTCAACCCCCAGGATTCCCGTCTCCGACGACACGTGTCGCTCCACGCGGCAAACGTGGAGGAGGTCCTCAGCCCCCCTGGATTGACGTGCCGCGCCTGGAAATAAAATAATAGATTATTTGGGAGAGGGCGGCGCGGAGGGGGGGGTATTGGGGTTGGGAGAGGGGCATAGGGGAGGGATAGAGGAGGGATAGGGGTAGGAGGATGCTTGTTGGGGGAGTTGGGGTGTTTGCCCAGGCCGGACCAAGCCCATAAGGGGTCGGGTAAGCCCGGGCAGAGGGGGGCGGGGGGGGTGTTAGTTGAGTTGGCGTTGATTAGAGTTAGGTTGTGTTAGGGTGGGTTTTGTGGGAGTTAGGATTAGGTTGGATGTGAAGCGGTCGCTGGGGGTTCTGAAAAGGGGGAAAAATATATTAGTTTCCTGAAAATAAAAAGTGATTACGCGGGGGTTACCGGTTCCTTCGCGGGGGGCCCGGGACACCCGAACGGCTGTGGCTTCCTCCCCCGGCCCGCGGGCGGGGTGACGAAGCGGGACACCGTTCCGAAGGGGATGGGTTATGGGGGAGGGTAGCTCCCCTACGCCCTGTTGCCGTCTGTATGCCCGCCGCGACTACGGCTATGTGTTGTCTTCATCGCAGTCACGCTCCTCGGATGCGTAACTTTTCCGCTTGGGTCGTGGAGACACGGCTGCGGGCGTGAGGGGGAGCGGGAATTAGCCTTGCCTGTTAGCCTACCCCAGTACCCCCCACCCCCGCAAGGCGTTATGGGTCCGGGGCGTTTTCCGGCTCACACCACGAGGAGGTAGGCATAGGCACTTCGGGCGAGGTCTACTCTCAAACGAATACTCACTTGACACTCGCCCGTTCGTAAGCCAGTACATAGGGACATTGCATTGATATAAGCTTGCGCCTCCCGTACCTAGGTCCGATGCACCTCTATCGGCTCCCCCATTTCTGGGGGATTAATAACATCCATCCGCCCCCAGCGCCCCCACTACCAGGGGGGTCTGGAGGCCCATGACGAGCTCGGAAAAATCCGAATGCTCCGGACCGATCGACAAACCCTGGGGAGGCGCTAGCCGGGTCGGGGCCTCCGCGACGCACTCCCCGAACGGAGGCCGCTTGACCCCGCCCGTTGCCCGCGGGGAACCTCGTGGATGTCCGTCCCCTGCACCTGCGTGGTGCGAGCATTCGTGCAAGACGCCAGCTGAGACGTAATGCTCCAGCGTGGTTTGGCGAGCTTTCCCGGCTAGGTCGGATGAGAACCCGATCCATCGGCCAAGTTAACCTAGCGATTATTCGGATCGGTTATCCTATCTATCGGCCCGTACTAGCTCGCCGGCCTTCTTTTTACGGCCGGTGGGGCCGGCCCCCAACCTGCACCCGGAAAACTGTGACGCGGGACGGGTTACCCAGCACACCTCCAGCCGTCCGGTCGAGGAGTATTCCCATAATGCGGGCAACCTGTCGCCGGTAACTCTAGGGGGAACAAGAGTCCGGTCAAACTCCGCAGAGCAAGCATCTCTCATGTCGGTCGCCCGGGATACCCAGTAGCCATTTGCCGTTTCGTTACGGACCCATATAGAGGGTCCGCATCTGGCCTCCACCACGAGAAGGTTTATGGATCGCTCTTGGTCGCGTGGGGGCCACCGTCCCCCACATCGTTGCTTTTCGGAGGCCAGTAGATAGGGACAGAGGGAATCTCGTTAATCCATTCATGCTCGTCATTAATTAGATGACGAAGCATTTGGCTATGTTCGATATATTTCACCCAACCCCCCCGTACAATGGTGTTAAATGTAGCATATTCTATATATCATGGGGTACGGATCTTGTGTACATTTGCCCTAACTCACGTACAGGTTTAGCAGGGTGAAATTCCGTATGCCTGAAAAGGTAGGCAGCACCTGGGAAGAGGGTTGACGTCTCCATCAACCGATACCGACTCTATCCCGTTGTTGCGGTCTTCTTGTGGTGAGACGGTTGAACCGCCACCAGGCAGCTAGTCCCCCGATGATGGCCTGTGTCGATAGGATAGGCAGGTAGTTGCGCCGTAGGACCCCTAGCTCCATTAAGTGCGCCGCTGAGGCTCCAGTCCAAACTCCTCGCCAGGAGAGGGTGATGGAACCATGGATGACTTGATCGCATCGTCCGTCTCCTCGCAAGGTCCGTTCAATGTCCGCGTTGGATGAGTAGTACGCGGTCTTGCGCCGATGGGCCTCATCCAGGACGACCTGGTCTCCGACCACCTGTGCGTCGAAAACCAGGGTAGTGGCGCCCAGGGTGGCGACAATGTCCGTTTTGCGGGGGCCTTCCGCGGTCCTAAAGACAGGCTCCTCCGCAACGGTGTATCCTTGTCTTCGCAGCCTCCTGGTGACAAAGGCTGCAATAGCATTGTGTCGCTGGACTCTGGCCTCACGAGTCCGGTGGCACCTTTGGAGCACGTGTTGAAGAGTCTCCTGGGCCGCACAGCCGGCTCTGCATCGTCGGTCCCCTGGACGCCCCCTGGAGATCCTGCAGCGCACTGGTATGGCCCCAGTCCTCATTCGGGCGCAGTTCAGGAAGTCCGACCTGTAAGCAGCTTAGATGGATTTGCTACCCACCTATATTGGCCAGTAGGCCTATTCTCTAACTCGTAACGACAGCTATCGTTATCGTTAGTCTACCGACGCGCCACCGTAACGACAAAACCTATTCTATAACTTTCTTGAAGCGACAAACGTCGTTAATGTAGCGACAAATGTCGTTATGGGTATCGGTAGTTTATCGAGCCCTACAAGACCCCTCGCTAAGAACGTAACGAGTAACGTCGAAGCGTTAACCACTGGGAATCCAAGAAAACCTCTTCTCTCATTGGTTCTATCGTGACGTTTAAAATATATACAGAGACTCCCAACCAACAAGCTTTAACTAAACGCAATTTATGAATTTAACCAAACAGCAAATTCAGTTTTCGTAATTATTTATGTGGGTATTAATTTTGAGTAAGATAAGAAATATAGAAGCAGTAAATTCTAAGATATGTATAACCTCTGTGTGCATGCAAATCTTTAAGAGTGAGGTTATGTCTTCAATATATCTTAACATAGTTTAAGTAACAAATATGGTGTATGTATGCACTTTCAATAAGTATGCTATTTTTCTATTATTTTATAGAAATAATAGCGGAACATTTTCTCGAGTGGGAACTTCTAGTATTAGAAAATCGAGTACGCCAATTAGAAAGACGAATAGAGATGAGACGTCTAAGAGATGCACAAAATCCGTTAGACCTTGACCAAGATTTCTTACGGCAATGGATTCGATTTCCCATGACACCAAAGCAAGCACTGACAGCATTTACAAATGCAGCCCAACCTTTCGAATGAGCTATTGGAGCAATTGATTGTACATACATTGAAATTCTGGCGTCAAGTGAACATGAGGAAGCGTATGTGAATCATAGAAACCATTCTTTAAACGTTCAAGTGGTATGTAACTTTTTTACTATATATTTGATTTACAAACGATTAGATAAATACTATAAATTTTATTTGTTGATTTACAGCTAGTTGACCCACGATTAAAAATTTTAAATATAAATGCTCGGTATCCAGGAGCTAGGAATGATGCCTATATTTGGTCAGCTTCTCCAATTCGACGTGCAATGGAATTCCATTACAATCGTGGAGAAAGGCGAACATGGCTTATTGGTATTACTTTACATTTTTATGTAAAAAATTAATGTTTTACCTCTGCATTCCGTTTTTAAAATATGTGTATTTTCTAGGTGACGCAGGATATCCGTTAGAACCTTGGCTTTTGACTCCATTGCCACATTATCCACAATGGAGTAGGCAATTTCAGTATAATGAACAATTATGTAAAGCCAGAAGTATAGTAGAGCGATTTTTCGGCGTTTGGAAAGGAACATGGAGATGTCTATCGTATCAAAGAGTTTTAATGTATGATTCTGGCATGGCTGGTAAAATATGTAACGCATGTGCTGTTCTCCATAATATGCGATTGCATTATCGTTTACCCATAGAAGAAGATTGGAACGAACCAGTAAGAGTACCTGCTAACGACTTAATCAATATAAATTTAGATGGATGTGTCAGAGGGCTACGCGCAATTGCCGATCGCATTCAGAAACTGATCTTTTAAATTTTCTATTTAGCAATTTATTGTGTCACCTGTTGTTTAATTCCCTATTTGCAAATATTATTGTGTCGGCTGTTGTTTTACTTTTCCCTTTACAATTATTATTGAGTCAGGTGAGTTGATTTGTGTTCGGATCAAAATTTGTTACCACTCAGACGTAACAAATACTTGAATACAATAAAAGAATTCGTATGTTTTTGTGATACAATACTTACTATTCTTTTTTGGTTTAGTTTTTATTTTTTTCGTTTCCTGCTGTTTTTCCTGTTTGCTTTGCAGATTTTCTTACTCGATAGCTTTTTTCTCTGGTAGAGGTTCTACCTACTGTTTGGCTTCATTTACCAGAAAATCAGGCGGCACTTCATTTTCTAAGTACTCTAAATTTGAAACATATGATGCGATAGTTTAAAAAACAAAACAAGAAGTATTATTAATCTTAAAAGGTTTATAACAATTTCTGTTGAAGCTATGAACATACCTAACCACTGTTCAGCTTCATCATTAAATTGGATACAAGTTGGTGACATTTTTAGAACTGTAGTAACCCCCGCAGTTAATTCTTCTAAAACGTTCTACAAATAGTATATAGAATTGTAATTCATATTATTGTATTCAGTTGACAATAATATTAAAATAGAGTACGTTTATTTGTAGCTGGTACTGAATAATTTGTAACTTACTAGGTGTTCTTCCAGAAAGGCATCCGAGCATGGGTCTACGCCTGAAGCATATTGGTGGCCTATGATTCCTAAGACACGTTTATCCAAATCATTAAGAATAATGTCGATGGCTTTGTTTCCCGTCTATGCTCTATTGCTTCTTAATTTCCGCACTTTCTCGGATATTGTTACGTCTGGGAGGGAAGAAATGAATTGATTATTTTTATGAGGTAGATAAAGATGATTTATTTCACTCTATGGTTATAAGAATTGGCTTGGAGTTTCTGGGGTCCCCTGGTACCAACGCCTGGGCGTTATAGTCGCTAGATTCGGGAATATCTATGGGAATAAGTTCCCAATTGGGGGTACGGACTTCGACGCTCGTGAGTCGATGAGGTTTGGATCGAGGAACTGTCCTCGGAGTGGAGGTTTTGAGGAGCGCCTTGGTGATTTCGAGGCGCTCCGGAGAAATTGAAAAAACCCTCTCTGGAGGTGAAGGGGGTGCTGCCGGGGGTTGCTCTTAGGCCTTTTTCCTCGATCCTCCGTGTGGACGCCTACAGGTTGTAAATTTAGGCCTACCCCCTGCCTTGGCGAAAGTTACAAGGAGTTGGTATTTTCTCCCAGATCGTCTGACCATCTGCGTGTTAGGTAAAAGAAGGCTTAATACTAGTACGGTTGTAATATATAAATTATAGGGGAAACTAGGCCAAGGCCCGGACTCCTTTTGGAGGATAATAGGAATTAGTTGAAGAAGGGAAGCTAGACTAAGCCCCGCGCCCTCTTATATCGAAGGAATAGTAAAAATTGGATATTGTTGTTGCTTCTCCTTTCAAAAGGGAGAAGAAAAGAAAAAGTTCATATAAGTGTGAATGATTGATTTATTAAGACATAGAAAAAATATGGTACCTCGAATAATAAGAAGACTGGTTTTTCTTCCGCGCTCGTACTTGTAAAAAAACTGGAACTCTGCGAGACGCTCGTCTTCTATCGATAAATTGTTACTGAACTCAACTGAACGCAAAACTGACACTAAGCGAGGGTGCATAGGTGCGTCCCTTTTTATACTGTTCCTAAACTGCATTGTCTCCAAATTTTTTGTAGAGGGAGGACACTGCCCTCAACTTAACATTATCCACTTTTATCAGTTTTCTTACTTGTTTTACCAATGTAGGTTCGAAGCCCTAAGTTGGGCTACCACTGGTCCGGGCCATCGTTGTCCTAGAGGATTAAGAACAAGGGATTCTCGTTCTTATCACCTTTCGCATGGTGACGGTTACCTATTTTGAGCACATTGCTAACACGTGTTCGGTAGAAAATTGACAGACGAGCGAGGACGATATAACACGATATTAGTAACATAGTATTTGAGAAAAGTAATAATTACGACGCTTAACTTAATTAATATATGTAGTTGGAGGGGTGACGTTACGTGGGACGTAACAATACTTTTGTTTTATAATCTCTCCATGTCTGTAAATAAAATCAATTATGTTCCAACATGCATAGCCATTCTTTTTGCTCTGTGAGTGGACATTTGTGGATTAAATTTACACGCACCATTTTCCAAAACTTAACGTCCTTCACTTTGGTGTCATTTGATAACGAGTTTAAATAATCGGCCATCGCGATCCAACTCCATTTAATATTATCTTTGCCATGTAGCGTCGTAAATTTATTTCTTGCTACATGGGGATGTTTTTCCATGTAGTCTATCATGGCATTGATTTGTCGAAGATTGGTTCTTCCTTGCCGACTTTTCTTCACTGACCTACAAAATGAATTACATACGTTTACATATTTTAAATAAATAGTACAGTTGCATTCACATTAGTATTTATAAGTTAGTACATATTATATATAATCATGCAATAATTACTTACAATTCCATTTCTTCTTTTTTTTTTTTTTAAGAACACTAAAAAAACAGTCAGAAATTTATCTGAAGCAGCAGTAATGTTAAGTTTAACACGAATTCAATTAATAATAAATAGAAGAATACTACTGTCAAAAACTATTCTAGTATTAAAGTACTGCTGTAAATAAAAACTAAATAGGTAATGTAAAAAAATTACTACAGAAATTAATACCAATATTCTGTGATATAGAAAAAAAGCTTCTCTATTGTTCTTTGTTCTCTAGACGCTATTCTATTGTTAAAATGCTACTATAGCTAACCTGTTAAACCTATAAACTGTAATGAAATTATTTTACTATTTAAGTACAACTAAAAGAAAAGACTATTTCAAATACTAATATAAGATACGGTTACATTAAGTAGTGTTGAAACTGCTTTTTAATAAAGAGCTATTGAAAAACTTTGAACTTCGCTGCTGTGAATCACTATTTTTATTGGGTACCTTTCAGTGTTCACAAACTCATCTTAAGAAAACGTAAAATTTCATTGGTTGAAAACAGTTATGCCGAATAGGGCATTGTCGCTAGCGTAACGATGTCCTTAGCTCGTTTTGTATCGATAGAGTGTCACTAGGAGCAGTTACATAATACGCCATTCGTTAACCTATCGGTAGAACAAGCGAGGACCATCGGTAACGTAACGATAACGACAATTGCCGTTACGAGTTAGAGAATAGGCCTACAGTAGCGGGATTCTGTACTTCGATATCGGTACGTATCGATATCGGTAACTACCGACAGTTGTCGCTTGCGCTAACGACACTAGCGAGTCGGTGCAATTCTGTACTTGCAGTTTATCGAGACTTATCGATGCAAGCGACAGTGTCGACGAGTTGATACATTTTACGCGAAACTTGACAACGCTGTGCACTGCTACCAATCAAATAGATAGATACTACTAGATACTGTGACGAATTACAAACAATGGTCTGAGGAACGAGGTGTCGACAACGGACACTAACCTCGGGGGGGGATTCCGGGCCTGCAGCGCCCGGACGATTGCTCGTCACCTTCGCCCGATCGTCTAGGCGGATCCGTTCGAGCCACTCAAAATTATTTCCCGGTTTCGGGAACGAGACTCTAACAAGGAAGTTACCTGAGGTGTCCCCCTCCGATTTTGTTCATTTTTAAATATGTTATAGTGGACTAAAATCTAAGGGACCCGTGTTTTTTTTTATCGGCGGATAAACACTTTTAGGGGGTGAAATCAGGCTTCAAAGTTTGCCGTGAAAGGGGGTGAGTTTGCTATTTCATATAGAAGCATTCGACCAATTTTCATGGAACAACCGTCAAAATGTAGGGAATGAAGAATTATGAAACATGCATTTGGAATTTTTCGAAAAAATTCAATTTNTTAAAATTCGTTTTTCGAAAAAAACCAAAATATGCTTTTTTTGTATTGTCCTGGTCAATAAATTAACTAAGTTTCATTTGGATAGAGCAATTACTGCTCGCGTAAGGGGTAAAAGAAGTATTCAAAGGGGTGGTTCACCCCTTCAAATTTAATTTTTTCGAAAAATTCCAAATGCATGTTTCATAATTCTTCATTCCCTACATTTTGACGGTTTTTCCATGAAAATCGGTCGAGTGCTTCTATATGAAACAGCAAACTCACCCCCTTTCACGGCCAACTTTGAAGTCTGATTTCACCCCCTAAATGTGTTTACCCGCCGATAAAAAAAACACGGGTCCCCTAGATTTTGGTCCACTATAACATATTTAAAAATGAACAAAATCGGAGGGGGACACCTCAGGTACCTTCCTTGTAAGTTGGGCGCCAGGCCTCCCCGGAGGCCAAAAATACTCGACGGCAAACTCTCAACTCTCGAAAATCTCAACGACTCGACAAACTCAAAATTTCGGAACTCTCGAACAAATATCGACAAACTCAAAATTGACTCCAAGGACTAGGCTCGAACGATCTCCGCCTCGACGATCGTCGCGGCGCGGCCGACTAGCTCAGAGTGCGCACGCGCCAAGGTTCGGAGAGGGCGAGGGTAAGACCAAGATGCGGGGGAGCAAGGGGAAAACCTCAACAAATTTGGGGAATTTATCATAGGCTCGGGGGAAGAACAGGGGAATTCAGCCACTTCGGCTCAAAAGAAAAACCAATTCGAATGTCGTACCAATTTTTAACAAATTTATTCTAACAATAAAAGAAATAGAAAACAATTAGATTAACAAAATGACGTGAGAAAACAGAAATGTGGCAAGAAAATAGGGTTCGGCGGAAGGCCGCCCAAAAGACAATTAAGTTAGAAAGGTAACTCTCGCGAGACAATTAGGCGAGAGATAATTAAAGCACGAAATAGAAAATCAATGGAATATCAGATATCTTAGGAAAATGACTAGCTTTCTCGGTTTATCGCTGGGAAAGACAATTTTAACGCGAAATATTCAAAAGGGGCTCCGATCAACGCAAAGTGGGGAGTTCGTCAGCTCCCAGAACTTTCTATCTCAACGGGCTCCGATTGGCCACAATTCAAGAGCAATTCTATAATTCAAATATAATTTGCGCTCGCGTTCATGGACTAATTAACTCAAAATTACACGACATGTTCTCGACTCTAAATTTCCACAACGCTATACAAGTATTTTCGCGACTCGACGGACGAGTCGCGAAAATACTCTAAAAATTATTCGGCAAAACAAACTTAAAAATCGCAATTCCCGCAGGCATGGCCACCAGGGTGTAACGGGGCAAATTGGGAGCGCTTGCGCGGGAGCGAAATCGACGGCGATCGACGCGTGCGCAATAACCTAAGAAATAGGCGATGCGAAAAGTGCGAAAAGAAGGAGGAAGTCTAGGAGTAGGGAGAGGCCGCGAGACTCCAGGAGACTCCAGGCAGAATTCTAAAAGCCAGAATAGGATGAGTTCTCATAGAGGACAGGCGTAGATAACTAGGAGAATAAATTCAAATATCACAAAATTTGATAAAACTAAAATAGAGTTAAGTCCCAATTGGACATCAATTTAGAAAGTAGCAAGTCAGGAGTCAGCCAGAGGCTAACCATTTATGAAATAAAGTTTATAGGAGAAGTTTAGGAATTAAATCCCAACCCCAGCGATCTCTGCCATTGAGGTAGCCGTCGCATCCCTAAGTTCGAAATCCTTTTCAAACCTAATCCTGGGACTGTGCTATGGCAGCATTTCCCAAAAACACGAACAGTAGATCGTGAAAAGAAAAAGAAAAGTGAAAGAAAAGGAACCATACCTTCGATTGACAGAAGTCAATCGAAGCAGGTTCGCAGAAAAAGAATACAAAGAAAGTGTAGATCCGTACCTTCAGCCTTGTTAATGCGACAGCTCTGAAGCAGGAACTCACACTATTTTCGATTGTGAAAGACTGCTCGGACTCAATCATTGAGATTGCCTTCGATCTGCCGAACTTTCACAGTCGATTAGAAGAATCGAAGCACAAAGAAGTGTAAAAACAAAGAACCCAACACAACATATCCTCTCAACCCTCAAAAACCCTAAGACCAGTGGATAGCCGAAACTGGATAACCTAAATTAAGTTAAGACTAACACTTGCAGAGCAAAACTCCAGGGAGTGAATCAATTCAGTCAACCAAATTCAGGGATTGATCAAAACGGAAATTAAGAAGTTAACACGTTGAGTGCGGCGCCGATTTTGCTATACTTTCCGCTCAGGCGGCAGCGCGTGAGCACTTGATACCAAGGGCTCTACCAGGCCGTGCGACGAGGACGATCAGCACTTCACTAGACTGAAGAGTATAAACAGAGGATTACTTTATTTCACTGTTTCCTTTGACGTTTAGACTGTGAGAATGGTGCAGCCAATGCACATGTATATAATGTATAAACATAAGATAATGGGGCGGGAATGCCAGAAAGGCAAAAGAACGAACACCAGAAGAAGATCAGTCGAAAAAAGCCACGGGATTATAAAGATTCTTTGCGGCAGAGAGCATTTAGTTCTGAATGTTACAGCATGAATACAAAAATGCTTGGGCGCGACATAGCGAAGAAAAACACGAAAAAAGTAGTTACCTACTGTGATATGTGCCAATCTCACCCACATTTTTGTTTAAAATGTTTTAATAAACTTCATTAAATTTTAACTTAAATTTTTTATTGTCATTTATAATTTAACCCTTGACAATATCGGTCTTATGCACTGATGTCGATCAAACGAGAATTTCGCAGTCATTTCTAGAATCCACACCGCTTAAACGAAAAATCGACTGCCGGTCCCTGGGGACCGGCGGCGGCTGAACGGAAAGTCCACTGCCGGTCCCTAGGGACCGGCGTAGCACTCAACGTGTTAATAGGACTCCGAAATACTAGGAAACCAACCCCATTGCACCTATCCCTTGAATCCTTTTTAATCCGTATTCAATGATGAGCAGTTGGCGTTCTCTCATGAGATAAATCGCCAGTCTGAGAATTCAATTCCAACCCACAATAAATCCATCACTACAAAGTAAAACAGCTAATTACTCATCAGACCGAGTTGTTTAGGAATCTCGGAGTATTTGAGATATCGAAACACGAGATCGAGTAGGAATTGCGGACCCGATCAGCTGAGCGAGCGACGCTTAGACTTATAAGAAACAGAAACATTGTCTGCGCGGCACGAGACCTAGCGATCCTTCTCTAATTCGCACGCCTGCCTCTCTCTTACTCGGGTCTTCGCACCTCGGAAACCGGTGATTTAATTTTCCCGGAAAATTCTGACGCGGCTCGGACTCACGACAGTGTGGAATAGAAGGTGCATATTGCACAACCTAATCCGTACTATTACAATAAGGACCGTGCCAGTCCAGGATCATATAGACCAATAACTCTTCTTCCGTGCCTAGGTAAAGTTCTGGAAAGATTGATGGGTAAGAGAATGAATGTCTGTGTAAAGGATAAATGGAATGACTGTCAGTATGGGTTTATGAGAGATAGATCGACTGAGGATGCACGGCATGGGGTGAGGGGGTTGGTGAATGATTCGAAGTGCAAGTATGTGATGGGATTGTTTGTTGATTTTAAAGGAGCATTTGATCACCTTCTGTGGAGTAATATTGTCAGGAGCCTTGTGGATATGAGATGTAACGAAATTGAGTTATGGAAAAGCTATTTTAGTGAACGTGAGGTGTGTATGGTTGGAGTGAATTAAGTCGTGTGGAGATTGGCGTGGCGGGGTTGTCCGTAGGGTTCTATTGGCGGTCCGTTTGTCTGGGATTTATGCATGAACGATTTATTAAATGTTCTGTGTGAGCGTGGTTTTAAAGTGGTGGCATTGTTACGTAGGTACCTTCCGTACCCTAACATAGGTAAAAACCCTATTTTTCAATCACCGGAGCTAGCCATGGAAATCCGAGTACAGAAACGCGATTAGGAAACTCTTGCGAATCCAACGAGTTCATCGGCCAGACAGCTCCAAAAGTCATCGACCGACCCAGGGCAAACAACCTGATGACTCCGCAGCGCATCAGCACGACTCAGAAACACTATCCTCACCTGGGCTCTAGGAAACCCCCACCAATTGGAACATCCTGCTCATAAAACCAGCAGTCCGATTAAGACGGCAATCATAATGTCATTAGTCGAAAGTCTTTTAGTCAATTGTCAATAAGTCAACGTCAGTCGTCATCGAAACTTCGAGTGGTGCTCCTGGTCCCCGGTACTCCGTCCCTAGCGAGTCAGAGACCGAGACCATTGGACTCCCTGCCAAAGACCACTATCCTGCGAGCTGCAGTAGCGCCATCCGGTACTCCAGCGATCCAGCCACCGAGTCAGGACTAGACGGCGGCACTGCGACTTCCGTTGGACGGGAGGCTTCTAGGAGACCTCCAACCCTAGGACACGCCACGGGACGAAGGTGTTCACGCAGTCATCCGACCGTGTCGATCAAAAGAGATTGTCACCGATTACGGCCGCTGAACAAGCCAGGTAGAGGATCCTTCGCAAGCTCGATTCATCCTCATTTTCATTCTAGTTTATTTATTAACCCTTCATCTCCGACCAAAACCGAATTCTAACCATTA